TATAATATAAGTGGAAATTTCATAAATCCATTTTAGCTTTTGATGGTGTTTGTGCATATGACAACAAGTGTATACAATGGTATGGGCAATGGCCAATGAAGCTTCTTATTTAATAGAACTGTTATGGTTCGTTGGAAGTCAGAAAAACGAGTGTGATAGAAAAAGTTGGAACATAAGATAAAAAATAAATATACCAAAAAATGATAGAAATAACTAAGAAAGCAATCTTGAAGTACAAGAGAAGAACCTGCCCAGTCCATGATGGGATTTTCCTGAAGTAAAAGTAAAGTTAGCCCCAAATGATACTATTAAAATGTAACATTTCTTACATGGCAAATGTATATAAATTACTATGAGCAAAATATGGAGTAAAGAAGGGGAAAAAGTACTATTTTAACCTGCAAGAGCAGTTGACAGCAATTAAGCCTGTCTTTACAAAAACATGTACATCCATAATACATGCATGTTTCCACTATAATAAACTTTGGGCTGGTAAAAAGAATGCACAACAAATCTACTTTCCTTGAATTGAATTTTTAATCACATCATAAAAGGTGAAGCAGTATATTTATAACAAAAATTGGAAAAACCTGTGTACCATTAATTAAGATTATTGAATGACTCAATTCATATCAAAATAAAAGTATGTTAGTACATATTCATTTTTTGGTTAGAAAAAGTAGGTATCAACCAATTTGATGACTATTTATGTGTTGTCATTCATTTTGTTAAATATTTGTGTTCTCTGCCAGCATATTTTGCAAGTACCTAGTTGAAACTAGTGCACCTTTTTCTTATTTTTCTTCTTAATTTTACAGCATAAAATCAAGAGAAGTGTAGTTGACAACAATCATAAGCCCAATAGATGAACTGCTTTCTACATTNTTTCCTTTTGCAGTGCCTAAAACAGCTGCCTAGGTTCATTTTGTCTTTGTGAAGTAGTCCTGCAAAACTATATTATTCAATTCTGGTCTTGTTTTTGTTCTTGACAATGGGTCAAGAGGAAAGTGAGGATAGAAGTAATTTGAGTTACCCATTTTATGGTGCTCATAATAATTGGGATCCAATTGTTACACTGAGTCAGAGTGGGTGTTTTGTGAATGAGTTTGAGAACCCACACTTTTCGAGTTTTGTTCGTTTTCCATATTATTCTCAGGAACACGACCAAGATTCTGAAAACCGGACTTTAGAACAATCACCTTATGGAACGAGGAAAAGGAAATCGGTACTTCCAGAAGCTTCTTCACCTGAGGTAACTCGTCGAATTTTTTACTTTTGTGCTGTTTCTCATGTTATCATGTCTCGTTCTTGTCACACTAATGTTACATACTTGACCATATATATATAGAAAATTGAGTTCATTACTACATAAATTTTACAACTTCATTGCTTTCGTGACGTGTTTCGTCGTTTTGCGCCTTATCCTGACATTTTCTATGTGTAATTTGAAATAATCTGTTATCTCTGTTTATTAATTTCTCTTTCTCATGCCATCTTATGCCAAATTTAACTAATTTCATTAACTCCACTACTAATTTCTATAGAATGCTGAAGACACACACAAGGAAAAACAAAAATTGGAACAAAATTCAACAGGTGCTGAGCCTCCTAAAGAAAATTACATTCATAAGAGAGCCAAAAGAGGCCAAGCAACCAACAGTCACAGCCTTGCAGAAAGGGTACGTAAGTTTTAGGTTCGTAGCAAAAGATTTTACATAGGAAATGCTCATGATTGTTAATAATAATAACCTCTTGAAATCGTTCGGTTACACAGGTGAGGAGAGAGAGGATAAGTGAGAGAATGACATTGCTGCAAGAACTAGTCCCTGGCTGTAATAAGGTCATTTGGCTTTTTCATGTCAACTTTAAGCCATTTTCTTGAACCTTCAAATCTTTTTTACTTATTCGAAATTTATGTGCATCGATATATATATATTTATATCAACTTTTGTAGAAACTTTTTGTATTCTAGATTACTGGGAAAGCAATGATGCTCGACGAGATTATCAACTACGTTCAATCACTCCAGAAACAAGTTGAGGTAATATTTCTTAGTCTTCTGAATTAACCAATATCCATGAAAGCAAACTTTAGGTGTATCGATTTGCAAAAATTTATCTCCCAAAAACCATTATCTTTCCCTCTGTTGCTGCAGTTTTTGTCGATGAAACTCGCTACTGTAAATCTTGGAACGAGATATGATCGTGATCCCTCGTTTGGTATCTGCCCTGGAAGCTGGAGCTACCATCACCTTTTCTCTCATACATTATTATAAGATATAAGTTTACCTTTAACAAATCTATGTTTGTGTTTCACAGGGCTGCACAGAATGAAGCTATAGACTGAAGCAAAAGGCTGCCATTATTTTTCTAACCAAGAATCAATTAGATCAAGTGAAGATTTTCTTGTGAACCACAACTACGAAAATAATGTTCATTTTCTCTTTAATCAGTGTTCATTTTATAATGGTGTTGTAGAGGTTCTAAGCCCCCAAGCTTTTTGTTCTGAAAAAAATACATTGCAAGATAAACATGCTTTATTCATTACAAAAAAAAGTGTTATATTCCAACGGAAAATCCTATGGTAATATATTTCAATGGAAATTCCAACGGATATTCCAATGGTATAGCTTCCGTTGGAACCATTCCAACGGAAATTCCAATGAAAATATTCCATTGGAATGTATTTTTCATTGGAATTTTAGATGGAATTTGATGATTCCAACGGCTATATTTCTAACGGCTTTTGACCGTAGGAATTTCCGTTGGAATATAAAATTTCCGTTGGAATTTTTATTTTCACCACCGTTGAAAAATCTACCGTTGGAATCGTCAAAATCCAACGGAAATTCCAATGGAAAACTCATTCTAACGGAATATTTTTGTTGGAATTTCCGTTGGAATAATTCCAACGGAAATAATAGCATTGAAATATCCATTGGAATTGCCGTTGGAATTCTATTGAAATATTTTTCCGTTGGAATTTCATCTTTTTCTTGTAGTGATTTAGTATTTAGTTGATTCTAGTGTCATTTCAGAAAACGAAAAAAAAAAAAAAATGAATAAAAGTATAATTTTTGCTATATTCACTTTGGAAGCATTTATTCAACAATTCTAAATTGTTTGATATTACCTTGTAATACATGCATAGGGGTGGATCGAATGAGTCCACCTCCTAAAATAAGTACCTGAGCTCAATCGTAGTTATTGATTTTGTATTGATCAATAATTCATGTTAATCATTTAAAATACACATTAATTATATAATAAAAATAATAATAGTTATTTAAATTAATATTATATTAAATTAATTATATAATAAATAAATTAATATGACGACCGGCCACCGAGATCGGCAGCCAGTCTGGCGACCCTTATCCCAACGATTCCCGTGACCCCATTTTTCCGGCGACCGCTCCGATGTGAAACACCAACTCGCCACCCTTCTTCGGCGTCGTCCCCAGAAAGCCGACACGCGGCCGCCTCCGGTCGGTCCTCTCCCAACCGCAGTGGTGACCCCATCCGACCATGACCACCTTCTGTGCGGCGGAGGAGCGTCTGTTCAAGAAGCCCCTGAAGCCGAGCGATGTCGGGAGGCCAAGCGTCTGTTCGAGACGCACTTCCCCCTCGACAGCGGCGGAGAGTCCGACAATGCATCGTCTTCGCGCTGTTGGGATTCCAGGACGAGGCCAGCAAGTTCGACGAGAACTAATCTTACATTAACACAGCAGTGCCTCGACGCCAACGATGGCTTAGTCTTCGCGCGCCACTACTGTGACGTCGACTGGAGGATGATGACCTCACTGCCGCATATAAAATTTTCAGATTTGGATTCGGGGGATTCATTTTCAAAATTAGATAGATCTTAGGGACTTAGTTGCAGTGTGAGTTAATTATGAGGTATTGCAACTTGATCCATGGGGTCAATCTATAATTTATTTAAAATATGAATATTTACACTATGGCTCTTGAATTTGTTTGTTATACAATTAATGCACATTTAATTTATTTATTGTGCATATTTAGATAATACACAATGCATAGTTTAGTTATAAATAATTCATTTATAATTGAGAATAAGAAATGCATCTTTGATCCAAATTTACAAAAAATCTAAAAACGCATCTCTCTAGAGCGAAAAAACCTAGACTCCAAATCCTTCCAGCGTCCCCTCTACTTCAGGTGAATCCGCCTTCCTCAGCGACAGTTCAGCTCGGCTAGGGGTCGTCCCAACCGTTCCCTCTCCTCTATGGCGAAGTGCGGCCCTATTGCTGCTTCAGATGGTCTATTGACGGGTGGTATCAAGTTCGCGATTGTCGATGGATTATCGGATGGCAGTGGCGCACCTCAAGGTCGAAGTAAGGCCGGCGATTGGAATCTTTTCAGTAGCCGGCGGAGCTGCGATTAGTGAAGGTAAGCCCTGCTTTCTCTTTGTCAGCGATTGCCGGATTTGGCTGGTTCTAGCGAGTTTCACCTGTTCGGGTGGGGCCCGGGCCGCTTGTCTTTGGATGTCCGTGGTGGTGACGGGTGGAGTGCGAGCTAAAGGGTGGGGCGGGGCTTCGGTCACCGCGGTGTTCTTTGTTGCGGCAGTCGGAGAGATGGCCGTTTTTCGCTTGCACAATTCCCCATTTGACTAGTGGTGTTAGATAGCGGGGGAGATTCTATTTGGCCGCATTTAGTGGTGTTAGAAAAGTTCGGATGGCATCGGTGTGGGTAGGACTATGGCTCTCTCGGTTGCGATGGGTCGATTCGGGGACTGGTTCGGAGTTAGGTTTCTGCTATTGTATAGGCTATATTGCAGTTTCGGTAGCAGGTTCTTGGCCTGGATTTATCTTGTGTCGATTGTTCACTGCTGGTTCGGGCTTGCTCATTTCATTGGGGAAGGACTGTTTATATTTATTTAGATTATGTGTGTTCGTGTTTTTGTTTTTGTAGTTGTGTTATGCGTGTCTTGGTGTTTTTTGTTTTGGCCGTTGGTCCCTGTGAGCCCGAGTGTCAAACTTATTATCCTGTTAGGATCCGACACTCGGGTATTACCCTGTTGGGGTCCTTGTAGTTGTGTTAATTGTTTGTGTTGTTGTTTAGTTTAGTTGTGAGTGTTTTTTATTCTAGCGTTGCTAGCCGGGATTCTAGGCGGTCTTCTGACCTGTCCACCCACTTTTTTCAGCTGTTGGCTGCTGTGTATTCAGCCGTTGGCTGCTGTGTATTCGCACCTTTGTGCATTTTGAATTATAATATTATCTATCGTTTTGGAAAAAAAAATAAAAAAGAAATGCATATTTAATTCATTCATGATGCATATTTAGTTCATACGAAATGCATCTTTGTTATATTTAAATTAATATATACATGATGCATATTTAGTTCATTCACGATGCATATTCAGTTTATACGAAATGCATTTTTAGATCATCCATAGTGCATATTTGTTGTACTTAAATTAAATATATACATTATGCATGTTTAGTTCATACGAAATGCATATTTAGTTCATCCATAATGCATATTTGTTATATTTAAATTAAATATATAATGATGCATATTTAGTTCATTCATAGTGCATATTTAGTTAATTCATGATGCACATTTAGTTTATGCGAAATGCATCTTTAGTTCATCCATAGTTCGTATTTGTTATATTTCAGTTAAATATATAATGATGCATATTTATTTCATTCACGATATTTCGTTTATTCATGATGCATATTTAGTTCATACTAAATGCATATTTAGTTCATTCATAGTGCATAATTAATTTGTTATGTTTAAATTAAATATATAATGATGCATATCTATATATATATATATAATTGCTAGCTAACCTCATTTAATAAAACATTTAATAAAAACATTTTCATTTTTCCTCCAAAAGAAGTTACATTTTTTTAATTAATTACTCATTAATCTCACATTTAAGAAGGTTTCTTTTAGTTAAATTTAATTAATTAATGACTAAATTAAAAAAGTTTCTTTAGTTAATCCCTCATTTATGTTTCTTATTCTCATTTATGTTTCATTATGAATTGAATAAGCAATTAAAGTTATAAGAAATATTAATAAATGTATTAATTACAAACATTATAATACATATCATGTTACATTACAATATAAAAAATGAAATTACTTTTTTTGTAATTTAATTTCCAGCTATACTCAATCAAACATATAACTACAAAATGATAAGAAAGATTAGATTCATAATAAAATTAAGAATTTAACTCCCCAAATGGTAAAATCTTATAAATTAGTAGTATAGATACATTTAAATAACATATAATTTATAAACTTAGACTATACGCATAATAAGATGAATTAAAAAAAATTAATAAATTAAATAAATAAATTATTATTATAACACAATCTGTATAATTATTATAGCAAATTCTATATTGTCAATATTATCATTTAAAAAGTTCATTGAAAAAACATATGTATAAAATAAATCCATATGATCATAATTAATAGTGCAAAATTAACTATCTTTGATTTTCTATTTTGTAGTAATAATAAAATATTTTATATTACTACTATTCAATAAAATGCATGATTTCTGCATATTTGATTATCGCAATCAATCATTTTTTTTATAAATTAAAAAGTGTGTTGAATAATTGTCTCATATTTTTTATTAAAAAAAAATTACTTTTGGCCGTGAAAAAATATTATTTCACAATTATAAATATAAATATGATTAATTTTCATTAAACAATTTCTCTTTAAGAAAAAAGTGGCGGGACAAATTTCTGCATGATTATAGCATCAAAACATATCCAAAACATCAATATTTTAATGCATTAAAAACATACTTTCAGCAACAGAAAAGTCATATTAAACGGAAATTGGCAAAGTCAAAGAATGAGAATTGACAAGACATTGTATGTAATGACAGATTGTTGCATAATATAGAAATATCAAGCATAATTAATAGTCAATAAAAAAAAGTGAAATCTATATGAAAAAATCAATATTAAAAACACAGCAAATTATGTGGAACATTATTGAACAATATACAATATAGAAAGAAAAATAATTTGATTTCTCTATCATTATCAACAAATTCAACTTTTACCAAGACATCTGTCTTTATATTAAAATCGATTTTTTTGCGTAAAAGTTTTAAAAATAAAAATTCCTACAGATTCTTTTAAACATTTAACAAAAAATTCCTAATATGCGATAAATATATCTAAACAGATTTGTTATAAACTCACCTAATATTTTCAAATTTTGAACAAAATACTAAAAAATTTGAAAAACTTCGGCAAAAGGCTTTGAACAGCTTCGAAAAGTGATTTTGAACAAGTGTTAGCAAAGCTTCACTTACTGATACGATGAGAAAGACAACAAAGAATTGAACTATTTAGTTTTCAAAATCTGAACAAAATACATAAAAGTTACATATGTATGTTATAAACAGATATGAACAGATATGTTATAAACGTACCTATATATTTGTTAGTAGAGCTGAACAGATCTGTTAGAAACTTACATATTTTTTCAAACCCTGAACAAAATACATAAAAGTT